GGGAGAGGTCGGGACTCAGTGCTGGCCAAGGTAATGTGGTGATGTTCTGTTGTTGGAGGTAACCTGTAACAATCCTGGCCCTGTGACATCTTGCGTTGTCATCCTGGAAGATGGAACGGCGGCCATGACGTCGTGCGAACGGCACAACATGGACTGCCAAGATGTTGTCCCGGTAGTACTGGCCTGTAACACGCCCTGCAACAACATGTAAAGCCGTTCTTCCAGCAACAGTGATGCCTCCCCACACCATAACAGAACCACCCCCAAATCGATCATGTCTGATGACGTTAACGTCTTGGAAGCGCTCGTTTCGACGACGCCACACCCTCCTACGTCTGTCCAAAAAATCAACAGTGAACCTTGACTCATCTGAAAACATCACATTGCTCCAGCGTCGATTATCCCAGTGTTGACGATCCCTACACCAACGACGTCTTGTCTGAATGTGATGATCTCTCAAACAAGGGATCACGCGAGGACGTCGGGCGCGAAGGTGACCCCTATGCAGTCGATTCCGAATCGTCTGGCCACTCACTCTCACACCAGTGTCTGTTTGAAGACGAGCGCTGATCTGATTTGCTGTGATGACACGATTTCTCAAGGCCAAGGTACGGATAAATCGATCCTGGCCTTGAGTTGTCGCCCTTGGTCGACCTGAGCGTGGTCTGTCCTGTACAGATTGTGTATCACGGTATCTGGACCATAGCCTGCTTATGACAGACTGAGAAACATTCATCGTCCGCGCCACAACCGCCTGTGTTGTGCCGATCTGTAGCATGCCAAGGGCACGTAACCTTTCATTTTGGGTAAGCCGACGCATATCAAAATTTGTTTTCTGGTCACTAAAACAATTAAACTGATGTTTCCACCCTGGAATTCAATGCCACAATGACTGTAACATTCAAAGTCAGAGTCGTGCAAATCTTGGGTTGGACCCCCATGATGATCCCAAGCATCACCTGCATTCCATGCGGTAGCTATTGGTGCGTTTGGGCGTCACATGTAACTGGAAATGTTTCTTCTGTTAGGTTCTATAGTGACTTTTTTCGTAGTCATTTGCATATTTTAGTATTATGCCCCCAAAATCAAATATCCCCTACTTTTTTTGAATAGTATAGTACCAATAGATGCTGTTCGATATTCTGATATATACGTACACCTATTGCTACATTAAGCCAATTGAAAAAAAAAAGTTTACTTTTGGGGCTTTTTGTGAAGATGATGATCACCGTACTTTAAGAGTGTAGGACTACTACTTGTAGGTAGGGTATAGTCTAAATATAGATGATTAACTCGTTGGTCGCAGGTAGAGGTAAAGATAACATCGGTCCTGAAAATTGAAAGAAAAGACAAAATCTTGCCTTTTTAGTTGTGCTGACCTGGAACTTTTTAGAGTGTAGAATTTATTTTCCAATTTTACTATTCAATGACTACTGTGAGCTATGACAGTTCTCTCAACTGCAGCTTATAATGAGATATGTACATATCAAGAGATTTAAGAGTGAAATAATGCGAATTTTAACAAATTTTCACTTCCAGTTGCAGTAAGAGTTGTCATACGAACATTATGTCGCGAAAACATAGCAGCTGTGAAGGCGTCTGTATTATACTACATTTGTTTGAATATCAGTTTGATAATATTGGGGATAAAGCTTCGTAAAATTGTCGAATTTATCCGATTTTTGTCAAAATTACCCACTATTTTTGAGAGTGTAGTTATAGACATATATGAAATTTTATTTTTTTAATCGAGAGACCTGATACCCAGTTACTAACAACCACAAAAAGAATTCATGGGACCCCGCGGCAGTGGAGATATCGCGGCATAAAGTTAGGGTTCTTTATAAGGTTTGATTTATACACTTCAGGAATAACCAAATGGCACCCCTCAGTGGAAAGATAGATTTTTCTTTCTTCATTTTTTTGAAACATTACTACCTAGCCTAATATATCGAATCATCATTCGTTTCATAAGTACTCATTTACAACCTGAAAAACAGCAGCTAACATTGCCTAAAATTGACGAAAAAATGAGAAAAAAGCCCCAAAAACACCTGTTTGCCGTATCTCGGCTAGGGTCAATTTCTGAGATCGGCGGTTTTGGCTATCGAGTAGTCTCATGGGCATGACCAAACCCTATGAATATGAATGGAATCGGCCGACCCATCACCTTCCCGATTTTGCATGATTTTGCATGGTTTTCTCGTGGACAAGCACTTAACTCAACTTCCGAGTACAGCATTATTTTTTCCATAAACTTTTCACTATTAGTCAACGGGTTAGTACGGGTTTATATAGCTCGGCTCTCGGAGAAGAGAGCGGATTCGGTTGATGACCCTAAAAGCTCCTGACATCCATTCTGTTACACCTAATATTATAAATACAATCCGTAGGATTCGTCATACTCATGATATTCCTAGATCTTCCAGACGAAGTGATATTTTCATTAAGGACTCCAATGAATTGCTCCCGTACGGTGTTGGCAACCTACTCACTAATGTGCCAAGAGAAGAAGACTTGATTTCAAAGTTCTTGAAACCCGTATTCGACAACTTTCTACACCACTACAAGTTCATACCAGTATTCCGTTGATCAAGCAATTCCTGGAATCCACATATTTCACATGGGGAAAAACTATTATGGACAGATCCATGGTTTACCGATGGAAAGTCCTTAACCCCGCTGATTTTCAAAATTAACATGATGTCACCAGAAGAAGGCACTCGAACCGCTCCTTTTCAACCTGTTTTCTGGTTCAGAAAGATGGATAACACCTTCGTCATGTTACAAAAAGAAGATGATAACTGTCGTCCTCCCGGAATCATTTAAACAACCAACATTCCAAGAATGAAGTTCACAGTGGAGATGAAACCAACACTGTGCAGCAGCCTCCCATTTCTTAATGTAATGGTAAACAGAGAAAACTCCAATGCCACCACCTCAGTGTACATAAAACCAACACACATTGACCAATATATCTACAACAAATCTAATAACCCAAATGCATAAAAAAATCAGGCATTATCAGCACCTTCACTAAAAGAGAAGAGGCCATTTGTGACCTCGAATCCCTCAACCTTGAATACAATACCTTAAAGACGTCTGCATCCAACACAACGACTTTTTGGTAAACAAGTTCATCAACCCCATATTATCCAAACCTTCAAAACTTGATAAACCAAATAGCATACACCCCAATTAACTCTTCTCTAAGGGTGGTGGTTGGGGGGGGGTGTGTACATAGGCGTACGTGGCCGAACTTGTTTGGGGGGGCCAGCATATTTTCGCAACAAATATATTTCTTTAGAAGCCGTCTGGCCACGAGCGCCGGAGGCGCGAAGCGTCTGACGGGGGGTCTGGGGGACCTCCCCCATTAAAATTTTGAATACCAGACCTTCGTAGACGCGATTTCCAGGCATTTCGAATACTGTCTAGTAATTTGGAGTGGGTAGTAAATTATGTCAGTTGCAGCATAAAAACTGGTAAAAAGTCATCTTTATAATACAAGCTCTATTACTACGAAAACAAGAACAAGTCGAACGATTTACTTTTGCCACATTTTTCATTTTATGAGACTTCACATTTTTTATCCAGATCTCAGAAGTGCAATGCACTACTATCTATAGTTCACATATAGATATGTTGTACTGGTTGGGGCAGTGGGAGTATCAGTGGTATCTATCAATATCTATATCTCCTCCTCTGGCATCGACAGGTAGCATATGAAGTGTATGTATGGATAGGGAAGGCATAAACAGAGGGTTTATACTGCTTTTCAGCTGCTCACTTCTATCACTGGGCTCGCCCGGTGCATGGAGTTGGATGCCAGTATACAGGAACACAGTACTAAAGAACTGAGAAAGGCCATGTGTACGTGCTAGTTCTATTCAGATGGCGTACGTGTTCATCATGGACTGGACTGCTTTCTTTCCGCTTCCATATTATTAAAAATATTCAAAACCCGACAGACGGCGCGACGCTTCCCGACAAACTGAGCATTCATTCCCGACAAGGCCATTCCCCTACCCCCACCCCATTTTCAAAAACTCCTCGGCTAATGACCGATCTCACAATTCTGAGATCTTTTCAGATTTCTATTTTTTTTTTCATGAAAATATTTGGGGAGGGGGCGGTGCCCTCCCCCCCCCCCCCGCCTCGTACGCCTATGGAGGGGAGGGGGGGGTACTTAAGGGAGGAAGGAAGGGGTCGTAATTCTTAAGCAGTGTTTTTGATGACATCTGAGGTTTGTCGACGTATGCACGAAAGTTGATCGCTGTACGCAAAAGTCGAATTAAATCGTCATTTTGGTCTTTTCACTCATGGGTCCCCCGTTTTGTCGTTCTTATCCGGGATAGAACGAGATTTCGCGTTCTTAAGTTAGCGTTCTAGCTCCCTAACTAGAATTGATCCGTCGTTCAATATCTCTAAAAGATTTACAATGAAATTGAACAATTATTCTTTCATAATACATTTCTTTATAATGCTATTGGTGAACTCGATAGAAAAATAGTCATTTCAGGACTAACACATGGTTGAACTTTATTTAAATAATTCGCTTGTGCGTTGGGGACTTTAGCTGTCCACGAGGTTGGACTGGCCACCCTATATTTGTCACGTACAACCGGGGAAAAATTTAATAGAGTTTGAAGTTTGAAAATTGAACTTAATAAAAGAATAATAACCTAAATCATAGTAAATGATAAGATCCTTTTGTCTTTTTGACATATTAGAACAATAAACGTCATCATGCCATGGTCCTTTATTTGCTGATAAAAAGATATCAATCAAAGACGGTATAATGCAACCGCCTTGTTCACATTTTTCAAGCCGTTGCTCTGCGCATCCTTCGAGGCCTACGTTGTACCTTGATGATGGCAAGTGTGTGTGAGTTAGTTGTATTTTACGTCCGCTTTCACCGAGGTGATATCGTAGATGGCAAGTCTCGCCTGTACAAATACTTATACACCTGTCACATGACCTACTATCGCTTTTAGCCTACAGGCGCCCCCTATCATTAAAACATGTCGCCTGGATTTGTGTCGGCTAATCTTCAAGACAGCTAGAGATGTAGGTCACACTCAGGTATGTAAATTCTTTCTACCGGTGTATAATATACATATTACATCTATATTTGAGTAGATCAGGAATATGTGGTGGGGATATATGTTAATATGATTCTTGTAATGGCATGTTTTATTGTCACAATTCACATGACATTCTCAAGTCGAGTACATAACCCACACCCTTCATATAGGTTTCCCAGGCCCACCCTTCCTTTTTACAATATTGTTGTCATACATATTGTGCAACTGTTCCATAATACCTGTTGATAACAAAATCATATCTTAATGCAGCCAATTTGTTTATTTTGTGTTAATGTTACCGGTTTTGTAAACTTATGAAAGCAATTTGACAAGAGTTGTTGAGGACATTATAACTGTCATGGGTCAGTAAGTAAGATTTATTATCTCCCTTTGACAAATTGAAGACAGTATCCCACAGTTGTTAGTGAAATCAACAATAATTAATCACCACCCTGTATTACATGAATGCTAGTTAATTAATCATTTTTGCTTAGAAGATTATAATATTATACTTTTATTCTAATTGGGTATATTCATATTGTTCTCTTAGATATTAATTTGAGCACCTGTAATTTTAATGAATTATTTTAATGAACTCGGTAATGAACTGAATAAAATCAGCCATTTAGATTTAGTAATTGTATTCCATAGAATTGTGACCTGTATACTCTAGTTCAATTACTAAATGCCATTGAAACAGTTTAGATTTAATCAGTTAGTATAGATTTTCAAATCTTGATGTGATTTGTAGACTAACAGAAAGTAAAACACATACTTCATTAGACAATGTTCTGTTAATTCAAAGGGAGTGTCCATTGGATCATGGTATTGTACATTATATTCTTATAAACGGAGGAAAAAGGACATTCAATTAGTATTTTGATGATAAGTTATTTCCATTTTATGTAGAATATATTAGGAGTAGGCCTAGTTGCCATGATTCACTTTATTATTGTTACAATATGATATAATAATAATGGATATTTGGAAAGAACATTGATGGTTATCTATTGTGTAAATATTATACAGTACATACCATGTATTACATTAGTTACTTTAGTAATGAAGTATTAGAGACCCCTAGTGCTCTCTCTTCGTTACAGGCGCATCCTAATATGAAAATAAGGCTTTTCCCCCATCTCGGTTCTAAGGATATTTTTTGGAATACTTACAGTCTATTTTTCACCGTGATTCTTCTTTGTTTGCCAAAAGGAATCATTTCTTGCCATGAACCAAGATGGGGGAAAAGCCTTATTTTCATTTGTCATTAGGATGCGCCAGTAACGAAGAGAGAGCACTAGGGGTCTCTAAGACTTTGTTACTAAAGTAAGTAGTATTACATGTATATTTCTGTGTATTTAGTAAGTATTAAATTTAAGCCGTGTGTATATTAAATGTATATGTATGTACTAAATAGTATTGAATTATTACATATATTGTACAGTTACAATGTACATGTACACAATTTGTCAAGGCCACGACTGACATATGCTCTTGCTGTAATCAACTGCCAAGGCAGGATTGTTCATTTTTTTTCCACTGACAATTTCTTGAAATTATTAAAGTATGATTTTTTTATGGTATGTAAATTAAATATTTGTATAAATACATTTATAATGGAGATGTTTACAATATATTTAAAGAATTAGTCTTACATACATGCAATCATGTACATGCATATATCTGATTGAAGTTCCTTGGGTCAATCCAACATGGCTCTGAATACATGTCTACATGCTGTAAGGCTTGCTTGGGGTAGAAAGTAGGATCTTTGATTAAAAGAATCTTCATTGTGCGATTTTTGCTATTCAAATATAGAAACCCCAGAATATGGAATGATTTACATGAAATCTTTTTAACTACCGTTATTGACATTTCATTACAATTACAACTTGCAAACATTCATTTCGTTTTTTTGAAAGAAACAGTTTTTATACGCCCACATTTTCATGTGGACGTATTATGTTTGTGGACTCTCTACAGGTCACAATTCTTATCTGATTTTGACGAAACTTGAAATATAGGTTTATCCCCAAAAGATCTCGGCTGCTTTCGATATTGGCATGTATCGAATCGAAACTTCATGGATTATGACCCCTGATTGTACGAAAAATCACGTTTTTAGCTTGTGGACCCTATAGAGGTCACAATTATTATCCGATTTTGTTGAAACTTGAAATATGATTTTATAACCCAAAGATCTCGGATCCTTTAGATATTCGCGAATATCGGACCGTAACTTCATGAATTATGGCCCCTGATTGTACGAAAAATCGTGTTTTTAGCTGTGGACCCTATAGAGGTCATAATTTTTATCCGATTTAATAAAACATATTATTATGTCACCGTGATACCCAAAGGACGGCTGAGTTTCAATTTCAGGAAAATCGGCCCATAACTGACAGACAAAATGGCCACCCTTCCTTCTCAAATAGCGTAAAAATATGGTATATCAATGTTGTGGACCCTATAGAGGTCACAATTTTTATCCGATTTTGTTGAAACTTGAAATGTAAGTTTATAACCGAAAGATCTCGGTTCCTTTCGACATTCGCGCATATCGGACCATAATTTCCTGAATTATGCCCCCTGATTGTACGAAAAATCACGTTTTTAGCTTTTGGACCCTATAGAGGTCATAATTTTTATCCGATTTAAAAAACCGTATAATTATATCACTGTTACAATCTAAAGACGGCTGAGTTCGAATTTCGTGAAATTCAGCCCAAAATTGACAGACAAAATGGCCGCCGTTCGTTCTCAAATAGCGTAAAAACATGGTATATCAAGGTTGTAGACCCTATAGAGGTCACAATGTTTATCTGATTTTGTTGAAACTTGAAATATAAGTTTATAACCCAAAGATCTTGGTTCCTTTCGATATTCGCGCATATCGGAACGTAACTTCCTGAATTATGGCCCCTGATTGTACGAAAAATAGCGTTTTTAGCTTGTGGAACCTATAGAGGTCATAAGTTTTATCCGATTTAAAAAACGTATTATTATATCACCGTTTTACCCTAAGGACGGCTAAGTTCGAATTTCGTGAAAATCAGCCCAAAACTAACAGACAAAATGGCCGCCCCTCGTTCTCAAATAGCTTAAAAATATGGTATATCAAGGTTGTGGACCCTATAGAGGTCACAATTTTTATCCGATTTTGTTGAAACTTGAAATGTAAGTTTATAACCCAAAGATTTCGGTTCCTTTCGATATTTGCGCATATCGAATTGTAATTTCCTGAATTATGGCCCTTGATTGTAGGAAAAATCACTTTCTTTTTAGCTTGTTATCTATCCATCTCTTGAAAATGTGGGCGTATTCTGCCTGGCAGCCGCTGGTTATCCGATTTTGTTGAAACTTGAAATGTTAGATGTTTTTATAACTGTAACTTCCTGAATTATGGCCCCTGATTGTACGAAAAATCGTGTTTTTAGCTTGTGGACCCAATAGAGGTCATAATTTTTATCCAATTTAAAAAAAATGTACTATTATATCACCGTTACACCCTAAGGACGGCTGAGTTCGAATTTCGTGAAAATCTGCCCAAAATTGACAGACAAAATGGCCGCCGTTCGTTCTCAAATAGCGTAAAAATGTGCTATATCAAAGTTGTGGACCCTATAGAGGTCACAATTTTTATCCGATTTTGTTGAAACTTGAAATGTTAGATGTTTTTATACGCCCACATTTTCATGTGGACGTATATTGTCGTCGCCCCTGTCCGTCCGTCCGTCCACAATTGTTTGTGAACAGTCTACAGGTCACAATTTTTATCTGATTTCAATGAAACTTGAAATATAGGTTTATCACCCTAAGATCTCGGTTCCTTTCGATATTGGCATGTATTGGACTGTAACTTTGTGGATTATGGCCCCTGATTGTACGAAAAATCGCGTTTTTAGCTTGTGAACACTATAGAGGTCACAATTTTTATCCGATTTGGTTTAAACTTGAAATTGTATGATTATAACTCAAAGATCTCGGTTCCTTTCGATATTCGCTCATTTCAGAACATAACTTCCTGAATTATGGCCCCAGATTGTACGAAAAATCGCGTTTTTAACTTGTGGACCCCATAGAGGTCATAATTTTTTATCCGATTTAAAAAAAACTTTTATCATATCACCGTTGCACCCTAAGAACGGTTGAGTTCGAATTTCGAGAAAATCGGCCCAAAACTGACAGACAAAATGGCCGCCGTTCGTTTTTAAATAACGTAAAAATATGGTATATCAAGGTTGTGGACCCTATAGAGGTCACAATTTTTATCCGATTTTGTTGAAACTTGAAATTTAAGTTTATAACCCAAAGATCTTGGTTCCTGTCGATATTCGCTCATATTGGACCGTAACTTCCTGAATTATGGCCCTTGATTGTACGCAAAATTGCGTTTTTAGCTTGTGGACTCTATAGAGGTCATAATTTTTATCCAATTTAAAAAAACGTATTATTATATCACCGTTACACCCTAAGGACGGCTGAGTTCGAATTTCGTGAAAATCTACCCAAAACTGACAGACAAAATGGCCGCCCTTTGTTCTCAAATAGCGTAAAAATATGGTATATCAAGGTTGTGGACCCTATAGAGGTCACAATTTTAATCCTAATTTGATGAAACTTGAAATGTAAGTTCATAACCCAAAGATCTCGGTTCCTTTCGATATTCGCACATATCGGAACATAACTTCCTGAATTATGGCCCCTGATTGTACGAAAAATCACGGTTTTAGCTTGTGGACCCCATAGAGTTCATAATTTTTATCTGATTTAAAAAAACGTATTATTATATTACCGTTAGTTCCTAAGGACAATTGAATTCGAATTTCGTGAAAATCGGCCCAAAACTGACAGACAAAATGGCCGCCCTTCGTTCTCAAAGAGCGTAAAAATATGGTATATCAAGGTTGTGGACCCTATAGAGGTCATAATTTTTATACGCCCACAATTACAACTTGCAAACATTCATTTCGTTTTTTTGAAAGAAACAGTTTTTATACGCCCACATTTTCATGTGGACGTATTATGTTTGTGGACTCTCTACAGGTCACAATTCTTATCCGATTTTGACGAAACTTGAAATATAGGTTTATCCCCAAAAGATCTCGGCTGCTTTCTATATTGGCATGTATCGGATCGAAACTTCATGGATTATGGCCCCTGATTGTACGAAAAATCACATTTTTAGCTTGTGGACCCTATAGAGGTCACAGTTTTTATCCGATTTTGTTGAAACTTGAAATGTAAGTTTATAACCCAAAGATCTCGGTTTCTTTCGATATCGGAACATAACTTCCTGAATTATGGCCCCTGATTGTACGAAAAATCATGGTTTTAGCTTGTGGACCCCATAGAGTTCATAATTTTTATCTGATTTAAAAAAACGTATTATTATATTACCGTTAGTTCCTAAGGACGATTGAATTCGAATTTCGTGAAAATCGGCCCAAAACTGACAGACAAAATGGCCGCCCTTCGTTCTCAAAGAGCGTAAAAATATGGTATATCAAGGTTGTGGACCCTATAGAGGTCATAATTTTTATACGCCCACATTTTCATGTGGACGTATTATGCCGTCGTCCGTCTGTCCGTCCACAATTGTTTGTGGACTCTCTACAGGTCACAATTCTTATCCGATTTTGACGAAACTTGAAATATAGGTTTATCCCCAAAAGATCTCGGCTGCTTTCTATATTGGCATGTATCGGATCGAAACTTCATGGATTATGGCCCTATAGAGGTCACAATGTTTATCTGATTTTGTTGAAACTTGAAATATAAGTTTATAACCCAAAGATCTTGGTTCCTTTCGATATTCGCGCATATCGGAACGTAACTTCCTGAATTATGGCCCCTGATTGTACGAAAAATAGCGTTTTTAGCTTGTGGAACCTATAGAGGTCATAAGTTTTATCCGATTTAAAAAACGTATTATTATATCACCGTTTTACCCTAAGGACGGCTAAGTTCGAATTTCGTGAAAATCAGCCCAAAACTAACAGACAAAATGGCCGCCCCTCGTTCTCAAATAGCTTAAAAATATGGTATATCAAGGTTGTGGACCCTATAGAGGTCACAATTTTTATCCGATTTTGTTGAAACTTGAAATGTAAGTTTATAACCCAAAGATTTCGGTTCCTTTCGATATTTGCGCATATCGAATTGTAATTTCCTGAATTATGGCCCTTGATTGTAGGAAAAATCACTTTCTTTTTAGCTTGTTCTCTATCCATCTCTTGAAAATGTGGGCGTATTCTGCCTGGCAGCCGCTGGTTATCCGATTTTGTTGAAACTTGAAATGTTAGATGTTTTTATAACTGTAACTTCCTGAATTATGGCCCCAGAGGTCATAATTTTTATCCGATTTAAAAAAACGTATTATTATATCACCGTTACACGCTAAGGAAGGTTGAGTTTGAATTTCGTGAAAATCGTCCCAAAATTGACAGACAAAATGGCCGCCGTTCGTTCTCAAATAGCGTAAAAATAAGGTATATCAAGGTTGTGGACCCTATAGAGGTCACAATTTTTATCCGGTTTTTTGAAACTTGAAATGTAAGTTTATAACCCAAAGATCTCGGTTCCTTTCGATCTTCGCGCATATCGGACCGTAACTTCCTGAATTATGGCCCCTGATGGTACGAAAAATAGCGTTTTTTTCTTGTGAACCCTGTAGAGGTCATAATTTTTATCCGATTTAAAAAACCGTATTATTATATCACCGTTACACCCTAAGGAAGGTTGAATTTGAATTTCGTGAAAATTGGCCCAAAATTGACAGACAAAATGGCCGCCGTTCGTTCTCAAATAGCGTAAAAATATGGTATATCAAGGTTGTGGACCCTATAGAGGTCACAATTTTTATCCGATTTTGTTGAAACTTGAAATGTAAGTTTATAACACAAAGATCTCAGTTCCTTTCGATATTCGCGCATATTGAATTGTAATTTCCTGAATTATGGCCCTTGATAGTAGGAAAAATCACTTTCTTGTTAGCTTGTTCTCTATCCATCTCTCGAAAATGTGGGCGTATCCTGCCTGGCAGCCGCTGGTTATCCGATTTTGTTGAAACTTGAAATGTAAGTTTATAACCCAAAGATCTCGGTTCCTGTCGATATTCGCGCATATTGGACCGTAACTTCCTGAATTATGGCCCCTGATTGTACGGAAAATCGCGTTTTTAGCTTGCGGACCCTATAGAGGTCATAATTTTTATCCGATTTAAAAAATCGTATTATTATATCACCGTTACACCCGAAGGACGGCTGAGTTCGAATTTCGTGAAATTCGGCCCAAAACTGACAGACAAAATGGCCGCCCTTCGTTCTCAAATAGCGTAAAAAATATGGTATATCAAGGTTGTGGACCCAATAGAGGTTACAATTTTTATCCGATTTTGTTGAAACTTGAAATGTAAGTTTATAACACAAAGATCTCAGTTCCTTTCGATATTTGCGCATATCAAATTGTAATTTCCTGAATTATGGCCCTTGATTGTAGGAAAAATCACTTTCTTGTTAGCTTGTTCTCTATGGCCCCTGATTGTGCGAAAAATCGCGTTTTTAGCTTGTGGACCCTAAAGAGGTCATAATTTTTATCCGATTTAAAAAAAACGTATTATTATATCACCGATACACCCTAAGGACGACTGAGTTTGATTTTCGTGAAAATCCGCAGACAAAATGGCCGCCGTTCGTTCTCAAATAGCATAAGAATATGGTATATCAAGGTTGTGGACCCTATAGAGGTCACAATTTTTATCCGATTTTGGTGAAACTTGAAATGTAAGTTTATAACCCAAAGATCTCGGTTCCTTTCTATATTCACGCATATCGGACCGTAACTTCCTGAATTATGGCCCCTGATTGTATGAAAAATCGAGTTTTTAGCTTGTGGACCCTATAGAGGTCATAATTTTTATCCGATTTAAAAAATCGTATTATTATATCACCGTTACACCCGAAGGACGGCTGAGTTCGAATTTCGGCCCAAAACTGACAGACAAAATGGCCGCCCTTCGTTCTCAAATAGCGTAAAAATATGGTATATCAAGGTTGTGGACCCTATAGAGGTCACAATTTTTATCTGATTTTGTTGAAACTTGAAATGTAAGTTTATAACACAAAGATCTCAGTTCCTTTCGATATTTGCGCATATCGAATTGTAATTTCCTGAATTATGGCCCTTGATTGTAGGAAAAATCACTTTCTTGTTAGCTTGTTCTCTATCCATCTCTCGAAAATGTGGGCGTATCCTGCCTGGCAGCCGCTGGTTTGGGATATCATGGATAGTCTTAATAATCGTGGCTAAAGGTAGGCACTTTTTTTTCTTTGCGGCTCAAACAATTTGTGCAAATCGAAAGTAAGAGTTCATACTCGGCATACACAGTCACTCATAAACATTGAAATAAGAAATTATGAGTATATGAACTTTTGATGTGATTTTGTTCAAGAATTTCACGTTTCCGAATTATCCGAATAGTATTCGGATAGCAAAGAAAAGTATTTTGGTTCACATATCTCGATCCGATTTTCAACACTAATATCAAGGTTGTGGACCCTATAGAGGTCACAATTTTTATCCGATTTTGTTGAAACTTGAAATGTAAGTTTATAACCCAAAGATCTCGGTTCCTTTCGATAATCGCGCATATCGGACCGTAACTTCCTGAATTATGGCCCCTGATTGTATGAAAAATCACATTTTTAGCTTGTGGACCCTATAATTTTTATCCGATTTAAAAAAACGTATTATTATATCACCGTTACACCCTAACGACGAATGAGTTCGAATTTCGAAAATTGACAGACAAAATGGCCACCGTTCGTTCTCAAATAGCGTAAAAATATGGTATATCAAGTTTGTGGACCCTATAGAGGTCGCAATTTTTAACCGATTTTGTTGAAACTTGAAATGTAAGTTTATAACACAAAGATCTTAGTTTCTTTCGATATTCGCGCAGATCGAATTGTATTATCCTGAATTATGGCCCTTGATTGTAGGAAAAATCACTTTCTTGTTACATTGTAGCTTGTTCTCTATCCATCTATCCATCTCTCGAAAATGTGGGCGTATCCTGCCTGGCAGCTGCTGGTTGTATTTTTTGTTTTGTGTTAGCTTTTATTTTCTTTGTCTTTATATGTGTTCTACTTTAAATGAAATATAGTATAACCTTCAAACATAAACCAATGCTATCTGTATGATGTTACAGACTGTGATTGTAATATGTAAACTATGTACTGCCGTTATTGATTATTTTGAAATATAGATTTTTTTGAAAAAAAAAAAAATAGTAGGATCTTGATCTAAGTGTTTGGGAAGCAATTTAGTGTGAAGGCAACAATTTCTTTATAATGCTGGAGAGTGCTCTGCTTCTTGCGAGATATAGATGACTTAGAATTCCACTGCCATCATTAGTCTTGTGGAAGACCTTGTGCCTTTTTTAGTGCTACCTTATGAAATAATCCATTTTGTCTGCTTACACAAATTGTAGTCTACTAAGAATGATCCCAAACATTGATCCAAAGCTATTTGCTTGGGGTAATATCTGTGAATGCAGCCATAGCAACACAAAAGATTCCCACCACTTCCGCCTAACATAGTAGTATTAAATGTGGACAAATATTTTCTGCAGTACATGTAATAATAACAATATTTTGTTATTTTTGTTTTTCAGTTAGATGAGATGTCTTGATGATGTTGTTCTACACACTGTAATAAACAGTTTAACACTGTTTCCATACACAATGTACATATAGATCCAGGCTGTTGTTTATTTTATTCAATTATTATCCATTATAAATATTGTAAGTGAAGAACTATATCAAAAACTTACCAAACATGGTTGACCATCATGATTTAGTGGCAGAAATGCCATCTGTGGAGCGGATGAGCACACAAGATCGATTAAAACATGCCAAAAAACGTAGGATTCAACAGTTAAAGAAATTCTCCCAGTATGAAAAACAGTTGGAAAAAGAATCGTCTAAAAAAAGAAAAAGTGGAAACACGCCTATAGACCATAAAATACATGGACATAAGAGAAATGTGATATTTGTTCCTAATATATCTTTATTAGAAGCTGCTGCTAGAAAAGATGTAGATGAAGGTCTGTTTATATTTTTTTTATACTGAAGAAGTTTGTGTGTGTACATTGTGTATTTGATATATACAGTGTAATGTATTATTCAGACTATCAGGACAAATAATTGTTGAAAACAGTCAATCTTAAGCATAATTCATTGTTGGTTTGGGTTTGTTAGTGTTTGTACTGCAACACTGTATGAAGTAGTGGTGTGATCTTTATTTATGTGTCTTACAATTATTTACAGTCCTGGATTTCCTCACAAGATTTTATGATGTAGTTGATGACATCATAGGCCACAAATATCACAGTACATGGGATCAGGGCTGTTGGTAATTTTTCACAGTTGATTAGCATTACTGCGAATCAAAAAGTCCAATTTTGCCAAATTTGATTAGCAAATTTAAAGATTGATTAGCAGTTTTTCAGTTTCAACATACATGTACCACAACTATATAACAAGATATTACTTTAATTCATAACAAATGATTAGATTTCATTCTAAAATTTTTTTAGCACTGCTACAAGTAGCTGTGACAGTTTGTGATTGTCATGTAGACATTTGATTAGGTCTTTGTCTGAAGCGAATTCTTGGCAGTGGCTTCCGAAGCCTCACTCATTTTAATTGTCATTACTTCATCAGAAAACAATTTCGTCTGCTGTTTATCTTGTGTTACTGTTTTTGTTCAATCGTATAACCGATAAACTCGAGTGGTACTACTTGATTCTCTATTTCCAGTTTAATAGTCACTATTCATAGTTATGTCCCTGACTCCCTGTATTATATAGCATAATGAATTGTGTCTGGGTAGTTCGAGAAGAAACTTTCAGACAGAGAATTCAGTTTTGTTTATAAAATTTTATTTGACATTTTATACACCTTGAAAGTGTTGAGAAAGCCTTCAAGTCTTCAAAATGTGGATAAATCTTCGTGTCAATATCCAAAGTGACAGGCATATTAATGATTCGCGTAATCATTTGCAGTTACTGCGAATCAAAAACGTTAGATTGTAATTATTGATTAGCAACGAACAAAATATGAATCGCAAATTGCGCTGCGATACTGGTTGTCGGCAGCCCTGCATGGGATCATTTAATGCAAATGCATCAGAATTGAATCTGAGAACATGTTTAAAAATTAAAGGAGGCAAGTTGCTAACTCGATATCATCCACAGCCTTCGACATTGAAACACAACTTATTGGTCAATTTAAATCAACAGTGACATGTATCTTAGTCTTACCATGAAAAGATGGGCTTCTCATATCCAGTATTAAAGATAAGATGAGAATTATAAAATTGGCACACAAATCGCGTGCCATAATGCTTTCGGGCACCATTTGTAATGAAGCATCTCGATGAACGAGGCTAAACATACCCTACAGGAGAATACTACCTTTGTAGACTGGAATAACCAGACGCCAAAGACTGCCATTCAATTTGGACTCTTCATGTATTTCGCCGAACATAACTGATTAGAAATTACAGTAAAAACAGAAACGATTGAATGTAAATGAGTTTATATACATTTATAATACATTATATGCATTGCGACCCATTTTTATACGCCCACATTGAAATGTGGTCGTATATTGTCGTCGCCCCCCTTCCGTCCGGCATCCACAATTGCTTATAGACGCTCTAGAGGCTAAAGTTAATATCCAATTGACTTTAAATTTATACACAGTGTTTAAGGCGATTGACGATAATTACTGCCAGAGTTATGGCCCTTGATCACTTCAAAAAATCTTGTGGACACTCTAGAGGCCAAAGTTAATATCCGATTGACTTTAAATTTATACACAGTGTTTAAGGTCATGAGATGAAGAAGCCTATTGATTTTCAGCGATTTTAGATATTTATTGCCAGAGTTATGGCCCTTGATCACTTTAAGAAATCTTGTGAACCTCTAGAGGCAAGAGTTAATATCCGATTGATTTTAAATTTATACACAGAGTTTAAGGTCATGAGACGAAGAAGCCTTTTCATTTTCAGCGATTTTCGATAATTACTACCAGAGTTATGGCCCTTGATCACTTCAAAAAATCTTGTGGACACTCTAGGGGCCAAAGTTAATATCCAATTGACTTTAAATTTATACACAGTGTTTAAGGTCATGAGACGTAGAAGCCTATTGATTTTCAGCGATTTCAGATAATTACTGCCAGAGTTATGGCCCTTGATCACTTTGAAAAATCTTGTGGACGCTATAGAGGCTAAAGTTAATATCAGATTGACTTTAGATTTAAAAACACAGTGTTTAAGGTCATGAGACGAAGAAGTCTATTCATTTTCAGTGATTGTCGATAATTACTGCCAGAGTTATGGCCCTTGATCACTTTGAAAAATCTTGTGGACGCTATAGAGGCTAAAGTTAATATCAGATTGACTTTAGATTTAAAAACACAGTGTTTAAGGTCATGAGACGAAGAAGTCTATTCATTTTCAGTGATTGTCGATAATTACTGCCAGAGTTATGGTCCTTGATCACCTCAAAAAATCTTGTGGATGCTCTACAGGCTAAAGTTAATATCCGGTTGACTTTAAATTTATAGTCAGTGTTTAAGGTCATGAGACGAAGAAGCCTATTGATTTTCAGCGATTTCCGATAATTACTGCCAGAGTTATGGCTCTTGATCACTTTGAAAAATCTTGTGGACGCTATAGAGGCTAAAGTTAATATCAGATTGACTTTAAATTTATATACAGTGTTTAAGGTCATGAGACGAAGAAGTCTATTCGTTTTTCAGCGATTTTAGATAATTACTGCCAGAGTTATGGCCCTTGATAGCTTCAAAAAATCTTGTGGACACTCTAGAGATCAAAGTTAATATCCGATTGACTTTAGATTTATACACAGTGTTTAAGGTCATGAGCCGTTGAAGCCTATTGATTTTCAGCAATTTCCTATACTTACTGCCAGAGTTATGGCCCTTGATCACTTCAAAAAATCTTGTGGACACTCTAGAGGCCAAAGTTAATATCCGATTGACTTTAAATTTATACACAGTGTTTAAGGTCATGAGATGAAGAAGTCTATTCATTTTCAGTGATTGTCGATAATTACTGCCAGAGTTATGGCCCTTGATCACTTCAAAAAATTTGTGGATGCTCTAGAGGCAAAAGTTAATATCTGATTGACTATAAATTTAGACACAGTTTTTGAGGTCATGAGACGAAAAATCCTATTGATTTTCAACGATTTCCGATAATAACTGCCAAAGTTATGGCCCTTGATCATTTTGAAAAATCTTGTGATGCTGTAGAGGCTCAAGTTATGCGATTGACTTCAGATTGATACACAGAGTTTAAGATCTTGAGACGAACAAGTATATTGATTTTCAATGAATTTTTATGACTTGAACAGCTAAATCCATGATATTATAAAAACCAAACAAATTCTAATGGTTTTCTGATAATTACTTCATAAGTTGTTACTCTTAATCAGATTTTAGTGTATTATAAATGTTTCATTACCGAAAAAAGTAAAAATATGCGGCAACACTTGTTGACTGCCCGGATGAGTTAGCTGCTGTGGGCGTATGTTTCGTTGCCTGGCAACCTATCTTTGTCCATTTCTAGGTACCAAAGAAAAGCGATTTGGCTATTTTAATACATGTATGTTTTAGTTCACAGTGGTATTATCAGCAGTGGCGGCGCCAGCCGTCGGTGATTGGAGGGGCAAAGCTGGGGCAAAGTCCAAGGTTAAGGGGGCAAAGGCACGAGCTTTAACTAGGGGTAGGAGGCCTCCCCCAGAAACTTTTGAAAAACAGGTTGCCGGAAATGCAACCTGGCAGTATTTTCTAAAATTATTGGGGGGGCAAACAGAGGGCAGACCAGATTAATGGGAGGGGGGGGCATCCCCTGGCACCGCCACTGATTATCAGTTGAAGTGTAACTAAGAATTTAAATATCTTTTATTGTGTAATGGTAGCCATGGAGGCTTAGTGAATAAGGTGCTGGCTCACTCACCAAGAAAGTTCCCACATAGCCCGCTGCATGGCATATGTTCGGATGTTAAACTCTATTCCATTTCATTCTTATTGTGTAACCTCATCCAAAATACATGCACAAGACCATGTAAATGTACATGTACATAACCACACATGTATATATATATTTTTTGAAAAGTAAAATGCATATAATTGATTACTTTAAAGCATCTACATTTTATAGATATAATTCCTTTGGTGTTTGATACTGTTTGACATCCTGCAGTACATATATATTGTACGTCCATAACTATTGATTGTATAATTTACTCCTATGACCTTTCTCAAAGTGCATGTTACTGAGGAATAACATATTTTGTCATTGGCAGCAATTTTATTACAGAACGAAGCAAGCATAACTTTAAAAACATACAAAGTAATACAATGTAATACATTGTTCATTAATATTGTAACATATATACATACATATGAACTCACGATGGCATATCAATATTACAAGCAAAATTTATAATCATGAAAACACACAGCCCTTAGTAATGCTACTGGGAGGGATGGTGGGAAATGAAAATAACAACTGCGTTAGAATTAGGCAAAAAATGCAAGCGTCGACTAGCCAGGCGAGGACACAGGGCTGGTAGTAATGGTAATGGGTAATGGTAATGGAATGTAATCATTACATTTTTTAAGTAATGGCCATGTAATGAGTAATGGAAGATTTCCAAAGTGATGAGTAATGGAAATGTAATTAATTACATTCCAAAAATCATGTAATGGTCAATTACATTTCAATTACTTTTCAATTACAATTTATGGCATATATAAATATTTCCAATATGACAAGCCTCAAATTTTATAGCACCAAAGAAGTAATTAAGTGTACCTGACACAAATCCAATTCATTATAATTCTAAAAAAAAAGATTTAAATCAGTTTTAAAAAAATTATAAGAAAAATAAGAAGGCATTAAACATTTTCTTTTATTATTTTTTATGTAGGAACCCTTTTTAGACATGTAACTTAAGAAGTGGATTTCTGATAAGATGTATATTATAATCAAAGATTAGTACTAATT